GTGTCCATTTTTGCGGTAGTCAATATGCTTTGCTCCAACTTCACTCAACGAAAGTGTTATTTAATACTACTAGCATGTAATATTATGTTTATTTTAAAAAAGGTATATGAAGGACTTAACAGAATTACTTTGATTTGGATTTAATAAAAAAAATCAAAACTAAGAATTTTTCTACATCTTCTAAACTACAAGCAATTTTAGAGTAATCCTATGTAAAGTTGTAGTCCTCTTCATGACAAACTTGCATTTTATGACCAATTTTAATTTTAAACTGTCAGTATTAAAAATGTAAGCGCAAAATATTTTGGACCTTTGCGACAAGTCTGTTTACGTAAACTTGTCGCAGACTTAAGGTTACTTTGTCTCTTTAGGGAGGCTAACTTTAAAAAAGGGGAAGCTTGCATAAATTTTTAAACAGCGAACAACTATACCATTTAAAGTAAAGCCAACTGTATTAGCTATAAACCTTAAACGTTTGCTTTAACCTGATACTTTTTGTAAAGGGAGACGACAAAAAATTCAACGTAAACCTCAACTGCTTTAAAAGCAATGAAGCAGCCACTGTAATTTTGAGTTCCCCTAGTGGTATGTAACTTTTACTTGATAGAACTAGAAGATTGCATAAGAAGTATGGAAACGTACTAGTTTTGAGACATAACTATCAACGTTAGTATGTCGATAAGAGAATATGTTTAAAATACATACTAAGTACGGAAACATACTAGATGAGAGACAGTTTTTGAATATTTATTTTCAGCAGTCGCTTTACTTCCAGAAATGGATATTAAGTAAATTGTAACTGAAACTTAAACTGAACCTCCAACTGAACTTCAAATCAACACTAAAACTACATTGTGAACTGACAGAAAACTACAATTTCAACTGCAAAGTGGAATTGTATTTAGTCTTCAGTTTCTTTTTAAAACTAACTTTAGTTCGGGAACTGCAGTTTTGGTACTGTAGTTGAAACTACAGTTTAACTAAAGATCCTTCCACCCGGGGAGGGTCGGGGCGACGAAGGCCGCCTCCCCCTCCATGCGTGGCGCGTCGGACTTCCGTCGGCGACGACGGGGGGGGAGAGAGAGAGAGGGACAATCGCTAATTAAAGACGCCCACACCGCGGCGTCTGGACCGCGGCCAGACAAAGTGACGAAACTTGCCTGGGCTTTTAGTTTCCTGCAGAAAAGTCCCGCCCGGGAAGCTCCAAGGAAACTCCCCCCCGCGTCAAATTTTCCCGCCAAACCGGTGTTTCTGTCTCAGCGCGCCGAGGGTGCGCTCCGAGTCGCGCTCGGTCAGGGTCATCCGGCCGGTGTTTTGGAACGCGCCCGCGAACCTGAATCGACCTGAATCGACCTGAATCACCGGGTCAGGCGGATGCACAAATCTGCTCGAAGGTGTCGGGGATCATCAGGAGCACGCCCGCCGCTGTATTTCTTTTTTGTTTTTTTTTCTGTGTGTGCCCCACTAATTACTCATTAAATAAAGAAGAGAAAACACACACACTCGCACACGCAACGTGCGTGGCTACTGCCAGTCGGTGCAAGGACTCTCGCCCTGTTATGGATCACAATTTGAGGCGACGAAGCTTGTCCCGGCCGAGCCGTGCCGTGCCGAGCCGAGCCGAGCGCCGAGTTGATCGATGGGGGTCCACGGGTCCATCCTTTGGGCGATCCTTCGGGCTCAAGGCGATCGCCAAACGCGGAGGTGAAACCCCGCTGTCGCCCCGTCGCCCCGACGCGCCGGGTGGACGCGCCCCGGCAACCTTGTACACATCCTAACCGCCCGCGGGGCACACTGCCGCTTTTGCGGACGCTACACTACACCCGGGTTCAAATCCCCCCGGCGCTGCTTCTTTTTCCCTTTTTTATTCGCATTTCCGACACGATGACCGCCACAACATTACCACCACACCGTAAGTGGCGAGCAGCGGCCGCTCCACTGTCGGGACGACACTGCCCTTGATTGCCGCGGTGGTGAAGGCGGCCCGAGGCGGCCGCGCTGTTAATCCGACTGCGCACCCGAAGGCGCCCGAAGACGCCCGAAGGTGCAGCGCGGCGGCGAAGGCTCGCCGAAGGCAAGGCCGGCAAGGCCACACCGCAAGTAAGGCCTGATAGTGATGAGGACGATCCAGCAGCCGACCCGAGTGCAAGTGCAGCAAGTGCAGCAAGTGCAGTCAAGACGCGTGACGAGTCACACTCTCCGGCCACTCTTCCGCGAGGCGCAAGGCGAGGCGCCGACCGCAATCTGCCTTCTCCCTCTCTCTCTCTCTCTCTCTCTCTCTCTCTCTCTCTCTCTCTCTCTCTCTCTCTCTCTCTCTCTCTCTCTCTCCGCGGCTTGATAATTCGGATTGACGCGTGATATTCGCGCGAAACGTGAAAACAAAAGACTGCGGCGCGCGCGCGGCCGGCGGTGGTCTGCTCTGGGGGCAGCGCACACACACACACACACACACACACACGCAGCACACGCACGCGCCGACGCCAAGGTTGGCCCATTGTTTGGTAATGCAGTCCGACACTCGGCGGGGCAGGCCGACGACGACGGCGACGTGCACAAGTCGCACCCTCGGCACCCATACCGCACACTTTTACCTCAGTTTGCGCCGCGAGCGGCTGGAGGTGTGTGTGTGTGTGTGTGTGTGTGTGCGCGCGCGCGCGCGCGTGTGTGTGTGAGCGCAGAACGCACGTGCGTGCGTGCGTCTCTGCGTGATGCTGCGTGCACCACGCCTTGCAACCGGTCGCGACAGATTATTGGTACGATCTCCGCGTCTCTGCCAGGTCTCCGCGCGTCGCCAGGTCGTCGTCGGGTTGTCGCTCGCATTGTGTGTGCGTCTGTCTGTCTGTCTGTCTGTCTCTGTCTGTCTGTCTGTCTGTGTGTGTGTGTGTGTGTGTGTGTGTGTGATGCGCGCGCCGTGTCATTTGGCGACAGACGGACAAATGAGTGCCGTTTGCGTCCATTGTGTGTGTCTTTGTGTCTCTGTGTGTGAGAGAGACAGCCTGCGAGGTAGGCAGTGCCGCCACACTGGTGTGTGAGGCACGCGTCGTGTTGCCTACCCCGCACGGCGCTCTGCTGCCGCTCGCCGACGAAGTGCGTTTCTCCTTTTAACTTTACACTTGTTTTGTATGTTCTTTGTGAAAACTGAAAATGAAACCCGAGGTCCGGTCGGCGACAGTGGGTGACGTCATGATCGCGACGCGGGGCGGCGGCAGGCGGCGGCAGGCGGCGGCAGGCGGCGGGCGCGAAGTGCCTGGAAAACAAGGGAGCCGCTACCTCCTGGAGAAGGAAGGCTAGGCGGCTGCCTGACGACCTGGCGGCCTGACGGCCTGACGGCGCGGGCTCACGGACCTGGTTAGCGAAGGTCGCGCGTCTTCTGCCTGCCTCTCGCCGGCGTTTAGGACCAACAAGGCGTGGCGGGGCGTGGCGGGGCGGGGCGGGTCATAGGTCAGCGAGCAGAGGCCCGGTCCAGGGAGCGCGGTTCAGGGTCAGGCACAGCCGGGCACAGCTCGGGCTGCGAACATGATACGCTACCTTTACCGGTGTACGTTCGCATCGCTCTCTGACCCGCCATCGCCGCCGCCAGTAGCCATTCACAGACTTATGCTATCGGAATGATCCAGTCTGACCCTATACGCTGCTGGCGGGGGAGCCTCTCTCTACGCGAAAACGGATCTGCATCGTCGAAACCGGTCGGTCGGTGGTCAGTTTCAGGACTGCGGCAGCGATCAATAATTATCGCCATATTTTGAGATGAGAAGCTGGATCTGCACTTTACACTGTGTGAATTTCCGAACCAGCTCACCAGTGCACTCGTAAATCTTTTCAATTTTTTTTAAAATTTTCCTTATTTGAACCTCACAACAATGAAAGCCGTTTTCTTCTTTTCGCTGTGCTCATCCCTATATACGCATCGCACATCCCAGTCCCATTCCGAGGCCGGGCCGCGGGCTGGGCCACAGGCCGGGCCATGGCGTCACACGGCGACCCGGCAGGCTGGCAGGCCGGGCCTCGTATGCAAGCCAGCCTCTTTCCAGTAATACCAACGGGGTCGTCTCTTCTGGCTCATCGCAGACCTCCGAACGGCGGGCCGAGTTGCGTTGTTTTTACTCGTTTCGGCCGCGGCGGCCAGGCAGGCAGGCAGGCAGGCAGGCACCTGGCAGGTCGCCGTTTGCTCATCGCAGGCCGTCTGCCGCGTCTGCCGCGCCGCCAGCCTCGCTCAAAAAGAACCTCTTTCCCCCTCGCAGCGCCTCGCAGCGGATTCGAGGCTCGGCCGCCTGGCCGGGCTTGGCGGACGCGGGTGATATACGGGACGCTCCCCTGAAAACAATCGCCCCGCGAGTGTGTGTGTTCGCGAGTGTGTGTGTTGTATGGCAACACACGCTGGACCTGGACACACACACACACACACACACACACACACACACACACACACACACACACACACACTCTCTCTCTATCGGGCAGGTGGAGTCGTGGGTCTCGAACAACTGGTAATTATTTTGGACTTTGTGTCTCGTCGGTCCGAAGATGAAAAGACTTATGTAGGGGGGCGAGAGCGAGGCGACCGACTCTCGCGGGCCTGCCGGCCTGCAGCCCGGCCATTGGTGGCTGGCACGAGGAACCTCGCCTGGAAAAACACACCGCCCTAGCGAGGTTTATGGCGGCACGGATAGTTTTATCCTTCCTGAATCCGGGATGAAAAATTAGCGATCTAGAGCAGTCGAGGTTACCACCTCTCATCGCGTTTATTTTCGTTTCCCATGTTTTTAATCACTTTAAACTAATCACTTTTGTCTGCTCAAGACTCATTTTCCAGCCAGTATAAAATTTAATAACCGCCGCGTTGTTCGTGCACGCTTTGCTGTGGCCACGCTCGTTTTTGTGCAGCAGTCGCTTGAATCGCTTTCCAGAGCTTCCAATCGGAACAAGAAAAGATGTTATTGTTTTCTTTTTTTTCGGCTCTCCTATTAGAGCAGTGAGTAATGAACGACGAGACCGTGGTTTCACTCTCGGGCGACGGTCCGCTTAGGCTGATATTGAAAGTGGGAGTGCGTGGCTGCCTTGGTGGCTGCCTTGGTGGCTGCCTTGGTGGCTGCCTTGGTGGCTGCCTTGGTGGCTGCCTTGGTGGCTGCCTTGGTGGCTGCCTTGGTGGCTGCCTTGGTGGCTGCCTTGGTGGCTGCCTTGGTGGCTGCCTTGGTGGCTGCCTTGGTGGCTGCCTTGGTGGCTGCCTTGGTGGCTGCCTTGGTGGCTGCCTTGGTGGCTGCCTTGGTGGCTGCCTTGGTGGCTGCCTTGGTGGCTGCCTTGGTGGCTGCCTTGGTGGCTGCCTTGGTGGCTGCCTTGGTGGCTGCCTTGGTGGCTGCCTTGGTGGCTGCCTTGGTGGCTGCCTTGGTGGCTGCAGTGCCTGTGAATGTGTCATCCTGCAACCGGTTGGCGCGTAATGCCCGTAATGGATAATGCCAGGACTACACAGTGTGGCGAACACAGCCTTCCTGCGACGCGCAGTCTGCGCACCGCGGCCGACCGTGCGTGAGATTTCCATCAAACCGCGAGCGAGCGAGTGGCGCGGGTTCGAGACCCGCTATCGCCATCACCGCGTTGCGATTGTTTTTTGTTTTCGTTTTCGGGTTGCGCCGCCGCGTGCGTCGGCAGCACAATGCGCAGTGCACCGCAACCCCTGAGGGACAACAGGCCGGCACAGGCAGCCCTCCGTCGCACTGATCGAGTCCGGCAGCCGTCAGCCGCTTGTCGGGTCGTCGCTCTGTCTCTGTCGCACTCGTGGAGGTGCGAGAGAGACAGACAGACCGCCTTCCGCGCTCCCACGCGCCAATCGAAGATCCCGGGCGGCGCGGCGGTAAGTCAGAAAGTGAGTCTCAAGGGCGGGGCCGCGGAGGGGCAGGCAGTGCCTCTCCCTCGCACCCAAAGGGCACGGCCCACGAGTGCGAGAGAGACGGAGCGACGACTGTGTGCAGCTCCCCCAGCCTTTCGTCGCCGCAGGCGTCTAGGCGTCGGGTTTGCGTGTGTCCTGCGAAAGGCCAGAGCGGCGCCGGTCGGCCGTCAGGGGGCAAGCAGGCCGGGCAGGCCGGGCATCGTGCTGTGAGAAGAAGGCTAGGCGGAGAAAGCAAGAAAAAAATATTCACCGAAAAATGGGTCTAGCTTTTGCGTGCAGTCCACTAGTTGACAACTGCCCGATTTAATAAACCGACCGGCCGTCGGATCGGGGTCCAGGGTCCCACCGCCCCCTGGCCGCCCCCTGGCTACGCCCCTGGCGGTGGGAGGACGAGAGCGGAGCGGACTGGAACACCTTGGAGGCGTCTGGAGCTCCAGCGCAGTGGCAGTGATGGCATAAATCCCCGCGGAAAGTGGTCCGATTTTCAAGAAGATAGCGTTCGTCGGATCAAATACCGACAGGTATGTTTTTTTCTGCTTTGCGTACGGCCGACCGGGCCGCGGAGGAAACCAGCCTGTATGACCTAGAGCATCGCACCGCCCGGCAGATGCAATTTATCACTTCGTGGAACGACACGTAAGTGGGAGCTCCGTGAGTAGTGGTCCATGCAGTATTGAAAACCACGGCCGTTTCCTCTCATCGAACTGGCTCGCGAGACAGTGACTTGTGTCGGGATCGAACCCGAGCCGGGACCTTGCGGAGACAGACTGCCTCAGGTACAGCACAATGTCTCCGACGACGTCGACCAAGCCGTGTTGTCCTCTCTCGACTTCCCCTCCCCTCCAGCCAATAAACTAGGCCTTGTTGTCTGTCGGGACGTGGAGCACTGGAAAACCGAGGCAAGGGGTGGAAAAAAAATGTTTGGAATCATAATGAAATGAACGACGAAGCAGATGCAGCAGGCGGTACCACAGTAGACGCGAGGCGCTGGGAGACGCACAGACTCACACACAGACACACACGCGAATACACATTCGCATGTTTACGCAATGGCACCCGGTTCAGCGGTAGAAGCAGCCGCACATTTCTGCAATTCGTTTCCGTCAATGCGTCTGTCTGCTTGGTTCGCGCCCCCGCCGCCCCCGATCGGAGGGAGACATCGGCTACACCGTAACTCGAGTGACCTTGAGCCACTCCTCGCTGCCTGGCCGGCCTGGCGGATGTGGGTGACTTGGTACTCGCGTCCCGTTCCGGACGGGCTTACCGAGAACCGATCTCCCAATTCCGGGAAAACAGCTGTGTCTGGGCTCGGGGAAGCGGGCGGCGGCATAGCAGAGCCCATCCAAACAGTGCTCTGTCTACCTCGCACCCCACCGGCACGCCCCATGGGTGCGAGAGAGAGAGAGAGAGAGAGAGAGAGACAGAGCCTTCAGGCGGCGGCCTGTTTGGCCAAACGCCGCTATGCTGTAAATGTTTGCATGAATTCACTGCGCACTTGTCTCCACACTGTCGGGTTTGCGGCGGCGGTTTGACGTCAACAAAATGCTTGTCCGCCACGTGGGTGCAGTAAAAGAAAACTTAACTCTATCCAATGCCTGTACCAAAACGCGTGCGTACGACTGACCGATCTGATTGCTCTCTCTCTCTCTTCTATCTCTCTCTCTGCTTCGGTGCGCGCACGTGCTCGCGATGGGAGATAATGACTCAGGGACCTTAATGCGCACGCAAATACCTTCGCATCCTTGCGTTAAAACGTGTGTGCGGTTGCGTCGAGAAATCGATCGATCGACGCACAGTAGGCCGGACGGCTAATTTATGGGCGGACGGTTCGAGGTCTCGAAGGGCGGTCCACTGGGGTCCTATTCGCAGACCGTGCGGCGCACAGTGGGCCAGAAGACCGGTGGGGGCGGCCAAAATTCCAGACGCGTTTTGAGCTCGAGTCGCTAAATGGGACTCGAACCGAACGTGTGACCCCACCAATGGATTCCTTGTTCGGAGAGCAATCCATTGGTGGGGCCACACGTTCGGTTCGAGTCCCATTTAGCGACTCTGGAGCTCAAAACGCGTCTAGAGTATTGGCCGCCTCCACCGTTCTTCTGGCCCACTGTGCGGTGTGCGCGTCGCGCGCGTCGCGGCTGCGTTCGAGACAGCGCCACCTGCCGGCACGGCCCGGCACGCCGGCGTGCTGCCGCTGCCGCACCACGGCCTCGCATGGCCTCGCCCACACTCGGCCCGCCCCGGCCCGCCCCGGCCCGCCCCGGCCCGCCCCGGCCGCGCAACGCCGTGAGAACATCCTCCTTTCTCCGGCCGCGTACGAATCGCCCGGCCCACCCCGGTAACGTAACGGTTGCCTAGCAACGCCAAGCAACGCCAGGCAACGCCTAGCAAGTTTGGGAGCAGTATTGCCGCAAAGTTGATCGAAACGGTCACAAATGCCTTTGAAAAATCGTGTTTTGGGCCGACTTTAAACAGCCACTGCGTCTGATCCGAGGCGGTATTTCGTCCTCCCTCAACGGGCAATTGGTCTTTGGACCTTCCTTTAGCATGCCTTTGTTACGGAGTGCGATTATCTGCCTTAGTTTGGGAGCAGTTTTGCCGCAAAGTTGATCAATGCACGATTTTTCAGACATTTGTGACCGTTTTGATCTACTTTGCGGCAATACTGCTCCCAAATTAAGGCAGATAATCGCACTCCGTAACAAAGGCATGCTAAAGAAAGGTCTAAAGACCAATTGCCCGTTAATGGAGGACAAAATACCGCCTCGGAACAGACGCAGTGGATGCCTAAAGTCGGCCCAAAACACGATTTTTCAAAGACATTTGTGACCGTTTTGATCAACTCAAGAGTTGTTCCCGCCAGTGCTCGGCGTGTGGGCCAGCTGGGGAACCGCCGTCACCCCAAGCGACCCCAGTTACCTCGCTGCGACCCCTCGAAATTTTTTCGCAACCCCATTTGGGGTCGCGACCCCAAGGTTGAGTGAGAACCGCTGGGCTAGCGCCTGTGAGACGGCAGGTAGGCAGTCCCGCAACGCACGTCAGTTCGACGGCACTGCCTACAGGCGCTCGGTCTGCCAGCGGTCGCGGTGAGTCATCGGACAGGCTTTCCCCGTCCACGGCGACGACGACCGCCCGCACCTGACGCACTGCAAGTCCGCTGGCCGGCCAGGCGCACAGTGGGCTAGAAGATCGGTGGAGGCGGCCAAAACTCTAGACTCGTTTTCAGCTCCAGAGTCGCTAAATGGGACTCGAACCGAACGTGTGACCCCACCAATGGATTGCTTTCCGAACGAGCAATCCATTGGTGGGGTCACACGTTCGGTTTGAGGCCTGTTTAACAACTCTGGAGCTCAAAACGCGTCTAGAGTTTTGGCCGCCTCCACCGGTCTTCTGGCCCACTGTAAGGCGGGCCGCTTGGCCTGGCGAGCGACCCACTTTGTCCCGTGGATTATGGCGAATGGAACGCTCAGGGCTTCCGGAGGTGCGGGCCCCGCCACGCCACGCCACGCACCATCATGCCTCTTCATGAGCGTGTTTTGCGAACGCGCGCCCAGCGTGAGTCACACAGTGCGTTGTCTCGCCGCTTGCGTAGCTGGCTTGCGTGTGTTCCGGGAGCACGTCGACCACGTCGTCGTCCTCGTCTCACTCATTGTACTGGTGCACCAGCGGTAATTACAGCCGCACAGGGAAAATCAGAGTGATTGAGTCTCTGTCTTTTTTTTTTTTCACGGTTTCCATCACGCGGCCTGCATCGTCACGAGAGGAATGCCCCCGAGCGCCTCTGCAGCAGACTGACTCCGAGAGTCGTCGCTCTGTCTCTCTCGCACTCGTGGGGCGTGCCGCACGCAAGCGAGAGAGACAGAGCTCTCGGAATCAGTCCACAGCCTCCCGACTGAGATGTTCTGTTCTCTCCGTTTTGAACCGTCTTCTTCTGGATTCGGGCGCGCGTTGTTGCGTTGCATGCTGCGCTGTCAAAACATAATGTTGTACGGCGAGCGAGTGCGGTAACAAGGCAACGAGGCTCGCTAGAACCGGAACATCTCATTCTCTATACTCGTAATCGAGCCATCGTCTTCTTTCTCCCTCTCCTTCTCCTCCTCCGCGCGCTCCGCCTCGAAAAGTCCCTCCGAGTCGTCGCACTGACGTGGGTGGGGTCTGTCGTATAAAGTTTCGACCGCGCCCCGGAGCCATGGGCTGCATGGGCTCGCGGAGAAAGCCCGCACACTGTATTCCCGTCGTGTGTGTCATTTTCGGGGAGGGGGTGGGGGGAAAGGGCGACCGGGAAAGGGTTATATGGCGAGCGGGTCAGGGCGTCAACCACTGAGGGGGCCAGGGCACGAGCGCGCCGCGGGTGGGGCTCAGTGCGAGTGTCGGAGTGTGTGTGAGTGTGTCACAAAGAAAAATGGAGCGGCGTGAAATTGTCTGGCACGCGTGTCAGTCTCTGTCTTGCGCGCGCCCTGCCGCGCTGCAACCAATTAGTTCCCCTTCTCTTAAACTTGTTCTCCCTCTCTAAGTTCTTCTTCTTCTTCTCCTTCCTCTGCTCCAACTTCCGCCCCCCCCCTTTTCTTCTGCAAGTTCACTCCGTTGTCGTGGTGTAGTTATGCGGAGCGTGTGTGCCCCACGGTGCGTACACTGCAAGGGACTGCAGTGTGGGGCCGCGGGGAGGCGGGATTTAGAGCGCGGGGCCGGCGGGGGCCCCTCTTGCTACTCAAACGGCCGAACCGCAGTACCGCACGATGCGGTGAAGCGCGGCAACAAAAGACAATGGGCCACTCTCCCCATCTCCCTCCCCTCCGTCTCCTCTCTCTCTCTTTCTCTCTCACTCCCTTTTTTCGTCTGGTCCTGCATGAAGTCCTCCCGGTAGGCCAAGCTGCAGCGGATTGCCCCATCGGCCAAACTGCCGCGCCGGTGGTTCAAATACCGCGGAAATGGCTTTTGGGCTTGCGGGCGGTAGGGGCTACTCTCCGGCCATGAAAGAAATTTACAGAAAAAAAGGTACCCCCTAAAAAAAAGGTACTATTTCTGGATTCGAGCCCAGGCCGTTGCTAAAGTACCGTCATATACCTAACACTCGAACCGACGGAGCTACGCCGTTCCCTCCGTTGTCATTTCCACATTCACAGCGTCCCGAAATATTTTTTCCCCAACGCGACAGTCGTAATTAAAGTTGCCAGGTGTGTGGTGTTGTGTGTGTGTGTGTGTGTGTGTGTGTGTGTGTGTGTGTGTGTGTGTGTGTGTGTGTGTGTGTGTGTGTGTTCACCGGGTCAAGTTGAGGCTGCGCGGTTCCGCCATAACGCAACACCGCCCACGCCGTGTGGGTGCCGCCACCGGACTGGACCGAGAGGAAGGGGGAGGAGGGGGAAGACCGGGGGGGGGGGCGAGAATCCAATCACGCCAAAGTTGTCCAGTGGGTGATGGTGTAGGACCCGGCGGCATGCAGGGTCATCGCGGAGTCGCTCACGGAGGTGGCTCGGCTCGCGGGTCGCGGGGCACGCGCTAAACCTGCTCGGGTCGGCGAGGCCCGGCCCGGCTGCCGCCCAACGCACGCCGCGGCACGCCGGCAGCCGTGTAGTGTCGAAAAGGAAATATTAATATTTGGTTGCCACACGGGAGGGGCATTGGTTCGCGGTGGCGCCTCTGCCGTGCACGCGGACCCGTCGTGGACCCGAGGCAGAAGCAGCAGCCCGAACATGCCGTGCGCTTTAATCACCCGAGCGGCCGAATTGAGACCTGACGTGGAAAATCAGACTTCTCGCCCACCAGCCTCTATTCACCTAGTTTCCTCTCCTGTGTTGTTGTTGTTGTTGTTGTCGTCGTCGTCGTTGAAGTTGTTGTACTGTTGTTTACATGAGTATTGGTAGTGCCGACAAATTTTACACAACGACAACGAAGGGACCCTGCTGTATAGCACGCACGAAACCATAATGAAATATGGGCTGTCGGTCCATAGGGAGAAAAAAAAATCTGTTAGCTTCGACGTTGTCCGCATACTTTGGTCGTCGCGTGTTCCGGAGGCGGCCGGTCCGCGCAGCTCCTCGCTAGAGATGTGTCTGGCCGGCCGGCCAACAGAAGTCGCCCGGTGTGTCCTCTCTCTGTCATGAAACCAGATATGGCGCCGCCTGGTATGACAAATTGGTGTGCCGTCCCGCTGCCGCTCCGCGGCGCTGGTCTTTCGCTTTCCTGTTGGTGAATGTGTCTGTCTGTCTGTCCGTCTGTCCGTGTGCGTGTGTGCCCGCCACTGCAATACCTGATTTGGTTATCTATCGATAAGGCCGCCCACGCAAGGACCTCGGCAGGACGGCAGGCCGACGGCTGGACAGTGAGGCAACGCGT